CTTTCGGGGAAATCCATTCATTTTGAGGTTTAATTGCGTGTATTTCCTTTTTTCCGCGGTAATGCCCCACTTGTTAGATCCCCATACGCGCCTTGTGAATTGGGGCCTTACAATCTATAATTATCGAAAATAATTCCGTTACGGCTGTCTTAGTACAGCCAAAAGATTTGAGGCTGCACATCAAGGTCTGTGAAACCACGATAACTCTCAAAGTCCATAAAACAAACAAGAATATTTGCCGTGAAAACTATTTAACGTCCTCTTATAGGACACAATTAATCGTTTAAAGTGATGAAAGAAAGATTATTTACGAGTCTCGGTACACCTGCACGGAACGCATATGCAGAATCCAGCCTACACAACGTGGTTTTGTGGTAGACTCCCGAAACAGTCGAACATATTCTCTATTCGGAGACTTCCAGTTAACTTTCGACGTCAGGAAGGGATTCATTTTCTCTGTAAAGTTCAATTTATAAAGTGCTCGTATGCACAATTGGGATTAATTAACCATTAATTTGTGTAAATAGGTTCAAATACATAACGACACAAAAGGTTTAAATCCATGTTGATGTTGACCGATGAATCATATAACGAAAGAAAATTTTGTGAAATGTACAATTGACGCTTGCATATAAAAAACTCAGTACGATGGCAGGATATTATTGTATTATGTTAATATCTTAAAAGCCGACATCACCTCAAACCATAGGAATGTTATTTTTTGGGTTTAGCACGCCGGTTTATTGATCCCCAATACGGCAGGCGATTTTATACTATGTTCCAAAAGAATCACATTCCCGTGTCGCTAATTCGGTTTCAACCTCATGGCAACACGCAAATCCAGTCCTCTTAACTGTGTCTGAAACAAAACAACAATCTTTACATTATCACGTACCCCTGTCTCCAGGCACAGCCTAATGTCTTGGAGCACATTCCAGGGTTATCAGTGACAGGGGTGTTGATCTTCCGATGCCTCAACACAGAGGTTCTGTAAGACAGCTTAAAACGCTTTTGATATTTCTTGAGAAAAAATATAAGGACCGACAAAATAATTTATTGAGTATTTTGTATGTTTTTCTACTCCGACTTTGTCGCATTTTTACTTTGTTCGACAAGAATGATGTTTGGTTTCAGAATGGGCTATCACGTTAAAATTGAAAAGGCCCTCCTCTGTCAATAATTACTTTTACACATTTGTTACGTTTACATAAACTGTAAGGTTTACCGCAAGGTTTACCGCTACTCTATTTTTGATGTTAAATCGGCAAAAAGGATCTATCCGTTTTTCGAAAAACCACAGCTGATTGCATTTTTGAGACATGCTAATTTGTAAATAGTTGCGTTAAAAAATGGATCTACCGAAACGTAACTTTAGGGCGGCAGTTCAATCATTTGATATAGCTGGATGTTGTCTTGCCCAACTCTGAGTAAAAGAACTCTATGAATGTGTTGATTCCGTTTATTAAACTTCCAGTTCTATTGCATCGTTCGAAAAATTTTACGTGGAAAACTAACATACTGGTCTTTTAAACAAACGCGAGGTTTTGTAGTTTTACATTGAGAAAACATCACTGCGTTAGGCCAATTTTTAATATGACTTTCAATTAGCTAAATATGATGGTCTGTTTGTCATTTCATATCAGATGACCAGTAAGTTATCATTGGCGTTATCTCACTTTCGTGCACACCCATTTAGAAATAAGGCTTATGCGCCAAAATATGCAAACCATTTAGTTAATGATAGGCGATATGCTCAGTTGCGCATTTGTGGGCTTTTTAAAAGCCATACTTGCTCTATTACAATGGGTAAATAAAATAAAAACCAGCCTTAACCAACATTTCTGCCCAGGGTGCTTTTAAAAAGCAATCTTTAATTTAAAGTATTACGGTCATCAGCCAAAAGGCAAACTTCAAGTCTGTTAAATACATAATTTTTAAACCGTTTATGGGATACTAAATTCGACCACACGTCAAGCCTTCATGAGGTGGGCATAAAGCATTTGTGCACGGTAAATTGTTCGATATAGAGCGAAGAGGCTTGCACTGATTCCTCGTGGAAGTCGACAATAAACATGAGTAGAAACTAACCGCAAGAACTTATTTTAGGCCGTCGTTCAGTAAGCGTTTTTAAAGGCGTTTTGCAACATAAAAACAAGGTTTCCGCAAGGTTTCGATAACTGGCAGCATTTTAAATGCGAAAACAATTGGACTTTATATAGAAAACGGCAAAAATAAAGGTAATTTATATACGCCTACTTTAGTTGAACAAACACGTGGGTAAGGGCAAAAACACAGTGTCACAAACTGTCCAGGAACGTAAGACATACTTATACCACGAAGAGTAATGCTAACATTATTCTCCTGTAAACTAGGTGGAACCTTGTTAACTACTATACTGCCTGACGAGCATCCTGAAATTGTTGACTTGTCCGGTATCTGGAGACGTTTACCCAGAAAACTACTCGATTTTTTCTGTGTTTAGCTAACCACTTTCTTTTGCAAATTTGCTAGTGCTGTCGACAAAGCAGCCAGTTTGTATTTTTGCGGTTTTCTAAAAGCCGCATCAAATTGCATTAAAACAATTGGACGGGATGTGTGCAACTCCAAAATGTACGATTACAGAGAAGTTTGGCAGGAAGCCTGTGTTATTAAACTATTAATGCATTTGCCTACTCAATGGACTAACTTGCTGTGCAGTCTTAAGTATTGCGGAAACGAAGAACTGTTAAAAGCACACTTAAAACCCACTAAAACACCATTATGTTAATATTCTGTGCAAACCCTGTAAATGACTGGTATAAAAAAAACACAATTGTGCATTATGAAGTGGGAAAACGCAAATAAGCATGCATGAACTTCAACAAAACCTTATTTTTCATTGCTATTGCACAAATGTTGCACTGTTTTTCACTTTCTAAGTGATGGCATTAGAAAAAATTCTAATCGGTTGGACACGTATATGATGGTTAAATCGCGTAAGCTTCTGCTTAACATTGGCCTATAAGGCACTGATTAAAAATACGTTATTTAAAGATAGGGATATATCTCATAGTTAGTAAACAGTAAAACATGCTTTATGTTATTTCATTTTGCTTGTCATGCCATTCATAGATGTATTGGCAAATTTTAAATAATTTTTGTTGACTCATCTATAGAATACTTAACGGTTCTGTGGGATTTCAACCCACAACAGAAAAGGGAAAGGCTTTAGTACGGCCAACGTTCTAACCACATAAGCCAAGGGCCCCCGCCGGACGACGCGAGTTTAACCACATTTGGGTCAAGTTACGTGCCTTACCTACTGCGATGTCTGGAATCCATCAAATCTGATGCAGTTAGTTGACTGTCCAAAAAGGATTTCCTAAGTAATTTGCATAAAATCTGCCGGATGTCTACCAGGCTTACGTAATGTATGGATGCTTTGGCGTATTTTGAATAATTTACATTTCCCAAGGCCATCTCCGAGACGGGTGTTTATCTTTCTAAACCCTATTTCAGACATAATGTACGACAGCTTAAAATTCTTAGACATTTTCTAAGAAATGAAGTGAAGGGCTAAACAATCAATCAAGAAATATGTATGAATGTGGAAACATGCGTTTTCACATTGAAAGCAGCAAAATAACAAAGAAAATATATTTATGTGTCGTCAAATGTTTAGTTGTCCAAGCCTGTCTAGGGAATCAAGATATATTTTAAATTTCAACCGCGGAAATGACCGGACATAAGTTCCCAAAAAATTAAGATGAGATTTTTGAGTATGATGAAGCATGCCGAGCATTCTAATTTCTCTGGCATACCCAGAAAATTTTCGTGAAAATTACTCTCCGTATTCTGCCTTCGTCTAACTTTTCCTTGCTTTTCAAATTTGCTGATGCTGTAGACAAAACAGCTATCTCGCATTTTCTGCTGTTTTCTATAGGAATCGTCCGACCGCATTTAAAAAAGTGGATGCTTATTTCTGTAATTCTTAAATGTTTGCACGCAAAAGCGCTTAAGACGTCGTAATAGTTATTAAATGATCAACGGATTTCCGTACATACTGGACTGACTTACCATTTTGCAGCATATGTTGCGGGAACAGAGAATCGTTAAAAGCACAAAACTAAACCGACCGAATCCTTATTATGTTAAACTTTCCGTAAAAACCTATAAGCGGTTAGCTTACCAAATGCACAATTGTGTATTATAAAGTGAAAAACGCAATTAAGACGCATGATCTTTGACTCTATGCTAATTTGCTTTGTTATTTCACAAAAATCGGACGATTATTATTTCCGGCTTCAAATCCCCAGAAAAAAAGTAAAATTTGTTAGACAATCGTTCGTGCTACTGTTCAAAATAAGTTTGTACTACAACACTGGAAATCCATTAGCATGAACAAAATTTAGTATACGAAAATAGCCTAAACTAATTTATTTGCAATGTTAAATAAATAATGAAAATGTTCTGTGTAATGTTGGTCACTCAAGTTACATTATGGCACACGTCATGCCATGTTTCTAGTATTTTCCCTATTAGGGCAAAAAAGCTTCTGTTACTGCTTGCTTACGTTAACAGTTTCTTGTAAACTGTCAGTGGTGTGACATTAAGGAAACTGATTTAAAATAAAGACTTAGATTTGATATTAAAATCATTGGTTTGCCGCTACAGAATAATTGCTAAAACCTCCGTCTCGCCTTTTTTCAAATGTCCCCTTACTTTGTTAGGCTTGATAAGTTTTTTTTAGTGTGAGCATATATGAACAGCAAAACGCAGTGTGTTCAAAACTGTAAGGTTTCTGAAGATATGCTGCTTCAAGGTTAGAACCATTGCTTGACTCCCTAACAATTCTCATACGTGCAAAAAAATTCCAGGATCTGCTGTGTATCCGCTAATTTTGTTTATGACATATGCAAAAAAGACCCAATTAAAAAGGTTCAACTGATTCTAGGCACCACTGCTGGCTATATATATATGCATATGATAGCATCAAGACACCCATAGTGAGTTTTAAGAGAATGTATATCAAAGACATTTTGCTCGAACCTCTTGTGTGCATCATCCTTTGTTCTTTGCTGTAAGTATTTCAGAGTAATAAAATTGAACTACGATTTTGCCTGAGATAAGAAATTTCGACAGCCATTCTTGAGGCCTGTTAAATCTGAGGGTATTAAGCAACTTGAACTAAACTGAATGTGACAGCTTAGTTAGTAAAACGACGTGATCAAACGCATTCGAGAAACAACGAATCAACAGGTTCTCTCATAGCCATAGCACTTTTTTAAATTGCTTCTTACATGAGTTGATGCATATAAACGATCAAAACTTTGTTATCTCTGCAGAATAAGCGCCAAAAATATTTGCGCTTGGGAAACAAATGCTCTGAATTCATCGAAAGAATATTCGAGTATTCGGCTCGCCGTTCCGGAGGACGCTGACGTGAGTACACATCACTGATTAATAATCTGTTTTACAAAATCCTTATGTATGAAATGATGGATCCGAAAACTTTGACGCATTGGCCCACATTACCCACCGTAAACTGATTTACTGTTTATTTAGACCGGAATATCAGGCTTGTACTCTATAGATTCTAAGCATATTGACAAAAATGATATCACAGAGTTTCGTTCGGTAAAGTATAATCGTGATAGCCTATGTTGAGATCAGCAACCTGCTTTGTCAATCGGAAACTCCTTTATCTATAACGCACTCAATGCACTGGTCTACCAGGTATACTCGGTCATCTGCTTAGAACTACACCAGCTATATCCTGCGATCGTCTTAACAGATCACAGTATGCTGCAAATATGCCAATTTTGTCTATGGCAGCAGGCAGTTTACCTGTTACAGTTTTCCAAAAGGCGTATTTGAGTGCAGTTTTCTAAATAAATGGTTATTTGTGCTGGCTTTAGAATGTTTAATTACAAGCGTTTATGAAGAGCCAGAAGTTTTATTAAATTACAATTGCATGTGCATCTTCATAGCAATTACATCTTGCGCAACATCCTGAGTAGCGCAAGCAAAATCAGCAATGGCGTACGTACCAACTACCGAAACACTAGTGTGCTAAATTCCGAATACAAATGCCGGGAGAGGCAAGCATTACAAGTGCATGATTGTGTTAGTAGGAATTAGGACAACGCACATAATCAAACATTAATTTAAACAAATAATAATTTCTTTTTTTACATATAATATACGTTTCTGTATAAAATTATTTTATATGATCAAGCAGAAAGTGGAAAGAGGGGCTCCTTTTCAAGTCGATTACTTAGGTCCTGTCAATATCTGCCTTCGGCTTATAGGTTATTTATAAAAAGCCGCAAATGAGAGCAGATAACAGTTACTTAAATAACGTCATATCTCGTTTAATTTAGAAGTTAAGTTTTTATGTTATATGTTTATTTTGTTGGGCTGGTGAAGGTACACTACTCGAACAGTGTAATACCTTTAACAAAATGTTGTTCATTCATTAAGCTTTTCTGCAGCTCCTCTTTTGATATCTATTTAATCGAGTCAAGTCAATTGTTTATCCGATCACACCTTTGAAAACATGAAATTGCACTACAGCTTGGAAACTCACCCGATATTTGCTTACAATATTTTGATTATCGATTGCTTGCAATTTTCCTTATAATATTTTAGGAAGTGGAGGTTAATGATGTGCCCTTGACAATACAAAACGAAGTGTTTGACTAGTAGATTCTCCATCGTCCAATCCTGTCAAATGGAAAACTGTATGCCAGAAGTTCTAATTCATTTCCATGCATTCTTAACATGTTTCCTACGTTACAAATAAAAATATGTCATTTGTGCGTATTCTAAATCAATTCAAAAATATTTCTTGGTGTAACTTCCACTTTGGATGGATAGGGAAAAAGTGGGTCAGGATTTCAAAACAAATTTTACTATCAGGCGGGTTCTTCCATTTATGCTAGTACTTTTACGTTTTTAACTTTAGACGCGGGATACTCCAGCTTGCTGATCAATTTCACGAAGCCCGTGAAAGTAGAATACGTCCATGTCCGCAGCGGAACTTCCTATGTTACCGCTCAGACTGTCCCGTCGAAGCCCACTAGATCGGATGAATGTAATTTGGTCGATGTCGTATTTTCAAAGTCCTCCTTGCCAATGTTATTAATTACGGAAATTTTAATGTCGACATACCCTCATTTTAGACGGCTTTGTGCTCCAGGAGAATCAACAGTTCCACATCTGTCCATCGACGCATAAGGGCAACTCAGTTGAACTTACATGGACCGTTGAAGGGAAAAATGACTCTGTAAGTGTTGTAAGAAAAACGCAGGTCGAAGGTAGGCAAAATAGAACGTATTCTAACCGTATTGCTAGTGTCCATCTAATGTCTCGGATAAACTGACAGCAGATATTTATTTCATTACAGATGCTACCTATTGACATTCTGTTTTGTTTACTTAAACAGTGTGAACGTGAAACATTGTTTCTGCTTAACCCAGACTGCTTATTCAACGAGAACAAATTTCCAGCAGCTAAAGAGTGGTTGTTTTGATAATGTGCTGGCTGGAAGGCTATAATTACTCGCTTTTACAACGCGTGCAGTTGCTTACTTGAGTAGGTCGACAAGCATTACTTAAAGTATCTGGCAAACCTACGCAGTTGATGAGGATTTAAGTATCAGCTATTGCGTCCCATTTCGGACAATTTTGATGAATGCATGAAAGTTGGTAGATAGATAATGCGTACTTTGCTCACGTAAGGCCAGTTGTATTTCTCACATTGTGCACAAATAGTTGCTGCTCCTAAATAATGATCAAACTACCTTAGTCAACGTTTTATAGATCGCTATTACCCTAACATTTTACGCGTGTAGAGAAAGTTTCGTTTCCGTGCATTCGAATCCTCCCTCCTTGCAATCTCTGATCTGTTAATAATGATGTAAATGACCTATCGTGTGATGCTTTAAAGCCTGTAGTGCACTACGGATGCACGGGATCTGATGGCTTCTACTGCCTGGACACTGCTGAACGGGATCCTAAAATGGAAGCTCAGTTGGAAAAAGAGAGATCGAATCCGACCGAAGTAGACTTTAGGTCAAAAGAAAGTGTGTCGGCGCTGTTCTATTCGACAAAATGCAGTAAGTTCCTACTCGACTTTTCAGGAGAAGGTAGAATGAGGAACGTTTTGTATGATTTTTATTCAAAATTTCCGCTGTTAGTTTAATTACTCGCTTCCCTCAAGCATGTCATGCCAGCATTGAGACACCGGACGACAAAACTTATTATATTTGAAGAGGGAGCACAACAGAATTTAAAAGGATAGAACATGTTCCTTAGAATCAAGGTGTCCACCGGGCGCTGTTGACACAGCAAACGACTGACTTCTTTTGCAGTCTTTCAGAAAAATGCATGTTATCAGGAATACTACACTGTGTGTTGGGAAACAAGATACAAGGAAATAAACTGCCGTACCCCTGCGAAGATTTGATTTGATTTTTATAGTATGAACACGAAAATACGTGTGTAGATCTAGCTTAAGGGCTATACATTATCCCATTCTAGTTGTTGAGAAGACATCGAAGGGCTTTCGGCACAGGTTAAACGTAAGACGTCCGAAAAAAGAAAATGTAACCCACTACTTTTGTTACATCAGCCCCTCCGATGATCCTTACTTATCCTACACAATCGACTGGACAGGTATGTGCAATTTCCTGGGTTTGATGAAGCTATTTTCTGTACTAAAGGCGCGGGGCATTACTTTTATTTCCATACTGCTGATGTGCAGTCCATCCTCGCCATTTTAACTCAAATATCCCAACCACTTTCATCTTGCTTAGCAAGTAACGCCGTAATTAAGGCCAGCTACCATTTATTTAAACATTCATGTGATAACATAAGATGCAGCAATTGAAAATAATTCTATCATAAAACTATTTGATGAACACAGAACGGTCTTGTGCCAAAGTTCCAGTGTTATGAGGCATCGTTTTGACATTCGAATAAAATTATCCTTTGCATTTCATGAAAACATGTTTTTTTTCTAAAAGGTGTCGGGAGTGAGTAGTGAACCGACGATCAAATGAAAGACTGGTGGCATGCCATATTGTGCTTGAATTAAATTGACTCATTTTAACCTGGCAGATGCCATACTGAAGACGTTATCCCATTTAGGTTAAATATTAAATGTTGTTTCCCCTTTCTTTTCGTGTCCCTGGCCTTGGGACTTTACATTTCACCTACGTCTGTGGTTTTTGAAATAATAAAGCTTTCATTTACGCATTCTCATTCCTAATTTATGAGCTTTTACAATGCATGGAAACCATTATGGGAAAAAATGCAGATACTGTAACTTATATCCTCCAAAATTTTAAACATCGTCTCTAAATGTGCCTTTTTTCAGTTGTCAATCAAAAATGTATTTGTAAAATTGCTTAAACATTTCCTATCGCGGTCATACGCTTTGTATTCATTAAAAGACATGTGAACAAGGGTGTAATTTGTTGCACAAATTCGCGCTCGGATGCAGTTTGTACTATACTACAAATGAACACTTGTAGTTCTAAATCATTAATTTGTCGCCAGAATATATACCAAAGTACCCTGCAGTGTGGAAACAATAAAGAACCATGCAAAAGTAATTGATTTGTACATGACGGGTAGATCAGCTAAACAAATATATATCAAACCATATTGACTGAAGCATTGCCTAACTAAAAAGGTAGGGGCTACACGCATGTGAGGCATATCATCGCATCATGGAGCCGCTAATTGGACAGCAGTCTGCAAACGCAGGATTTTCTTTACCTTGGCAAAAGGTCAACAATTTTAATGCGCAATCATTCCAAAAAGTAGTTCATTACACGAGCAAAATATGCACAACTGGTTCTAAGGTGATGGAAGCAATTTCCGATCGGTCAGAGTGAACAGCATGTATGTGAATGAAAATCTACTGAGTGACGTCATTTGGCGTGAACACGTAACACTGAGACCGGTCGATTACCTCTCGTGGAGTATCTGTATTGGAACCAAAATGTATTCAGTCTATGCATGCACCCCCGTAAATCATAAGTCATTTAGAAAATGAGCTTACTGTACAAAAGTTGTAATCCAAAATGTGCATTGAACGGTCGTATCCATAAACAAAGTCTTAAGAGCACATTAAAAAGTGCGATTTAGTGGAAAAACCTATCTCCAAATAGCAAAACCTTAAGATTACTTAGTATTCTTCATAGGAAGGCGGCCCTAATACGACAGCGTGCTGTGGAATACTTGCGATTAGTTGTTCCTTATAATGTTTTAAATTTATTTTAAATGCAGAAAAACAACTTGAATTATCTTTCAGAGGCCAAACGGCCATTTTTCAACCGATACGACATGGGGAATGCTCAGGAAAAACTACACTGTATTTGACTTGAATTTAAGTGTGCCTTCCCATACATCTGCACAAATGGCATTGTAATGGTAGCCACATAGAAATCCAGAATTTAGTAACTGGACACTGTTGTCAGCTGTTTTTGTCTTCTCAGGAGGGAATTTCCGGTTTAAGCTGTAAAATTGAATGCATTTGCACGACAAAGCGGGTAAACGGTGGTCTGAGATAGGACGATTCAGTGGTAATACTCTAGGCTTTCGACAGAGACTCATTAAAATATCATGTCTAACGTTCATTATTGTATTTACCGGCTCACAGATATCCTTCTGCGAAAAAATGTTTATAAAAACGGAAAATGTATTAACGAGGCGAGTAATGACCGGAAGAGGCAAATGATGAAATCCTATTTTACAGGATGTCCTATGAGATTTAACAAATGTGGTCGTATGACGGTGAATGCATGCTTTAACTTGTGAGAACAAACCACATTCTTTTTAAAAATGTGGGCATAGCATCAATATTACGGCGAACTCATAGCACTAAAAAATCGATTTTTCTATTGTGCTTTTAATATCCTAACATTTTAATAAGTTTGGCCATTCTGAGGCATTTAAACTAGCGCGGTTAGCATAATGTCAGAATAACGCTGCTGTCATATTTATTGCGCACAATGCTATCCGTCGACATTTGCATGTGAACACATGACAAGTCCCCGCAGCTGTTTAAATAAAAGTCGGAGAAAACAGGTAACGACGTGACGGCAGTGCGCTCAAATTCCTAATATCTGGACACCTTGTAGCCACTTGAGCCTTTATTTGGATTGGATTTCGTTGAGTATATACGTTGTTTGTGCTATTTTGGTTAATGCCGGGATACACACTAATGTCGCAGCACCCTCCTTTTCGCCAGTCCATTTCTTCGACGTCAGTGTACCAGCAAACGACATCTACATTACAGAAAACAGTGAAATTCTTAATAAGGACCACCTCATCATGATTCAGGGACTCCCAGAGTCCCTCTCCAGTACCCCCAGGAAACGAGTCGCTGCTGACTTAGAGCAATTCCAGAAAATCCTAGATGAAATCCTGCGGCCAAATGAAGGTATTACCGTCTTAATGGCGTTACGTTTTGACAGCCGTGCAAAGGTCGCTCCACAGACGCGACCACGACCCCTTTAAAATCGTTCTAGCCCACAATGAGCAGGCGAAACTAAACCTTTCCGGGCGCTTTCGCCTAAAGCACTCCCAAAAGCAGTGTTTTTCTCAGCCGGATCACTCACCAGCCGAAAGACTGAAGGCCGCAAACATGTCACAGAATTGAGAACACGGCGGACCAACGCAGAACAGAACTTCACAATCTAAAAAGGACCAGATAATAAAACGACATTCTGTTCACACTTGAATGAAGCCGATCTTAATGACCGCGCATTTAACCCACTAGCCTCTGTCGGCGTTGTAAGCAATTTTCACATGAACTCGTAACTCGCATTCATGTATAGTAACGCTCAAAACTGTACATTAATAACTGAGTGAACTCTGTATACTTATCTACGAGCTCCACCTAGACGTTTTCTGAATAACAGAAACATGGTTGCCCAAATAGGCTGATTGTAGGTAGCTCATGCTTCTGGATTTCAACTGTTCCGCAGAGACAGGGAAAAGAAAAATAGATGGAGGCATATTAACATTTGTTGAGAATGGCCTGTATGTTTCAGAAAAAAACTGTCAAAGTGACCTCTGGTACGGAAGCATTATGGCTGACAATAAAGGCAGCTAGCACTCGTAGCCTCCGATATCTGGACAGTATATCGTCCCCCGAGAGGTTACCTTAACGCTGATGCCCAACTGCTGAATAAGCTCAGATTATTTTCAACGCAACCGAGTACTCTCATCTTTGGGAATTTTAATGTACCTCACATCGACCTCGGCCTCAACCGACTGTTCTGAAACAGCATTCCACCAGCAGCTAGTATGTACCACTGACAACCTGCTTCTCACCCAACACGTAATGCTTCCACGAGAGTTCGGGAGGGCCAACAAATGAACTGCCTCCATCTTGTGTTCACCAAGTCGCCTGATACCATCGACGTCGTACATTGCCTTTCGCCGTTGGGTCAGAGTGACCATGTACTTCTCAAGTAGGTATACATCCTATTCTCCTTGCCTGCACAACCGCTCAATTCCCGACCCAGTATTTCCTGCGGCGATTCCGAACAGATGAACAACTCTCTTTGACTAATTGACTGAGCATCCACACCCTCCATCGATATGGAGGAAGTTTGGTGTCTGTTCAAAAAAATAGTCCACAGCCTCATCTCTAACCACAGCCAAATGATACCCAGACAACTGGCAAATAGAAATCGCTGGTTGACTCAGACCTTAAAGCGGGAGGTTAACAAGAAGAGGAAGCTACGGAAATATCCCTCATTTACGGGACGACACATTTCCTAAACAGTTATAAGATTTACAACAACCGGGTCATAATTATCCTCGCCTCAGATCGGCAAGTCTTTGGAAGGGATCTTTGAAACGTACCAAAGTCCATAAGGCACAGTAGGCGGAACAAGGCTCCCATCCAACTACTGCGAACGGCCGTGGGCGCGGAAATCTCAGATGACAATTTTAAGGCTGAAGTTCTCTCACATTCTCCGCTCCGTCGTGGCAAACAAAGCTAATTTTTTTCACACACGCCTGTGAACATAAGGTAACGCCTACTATTAAGGAAGTTCTCTTCACCAAATTAATCACTGAGAAATAGTTATTAAACCTGGATTAATCCTCATTCCAAGGACCTTATCTAATCCTGGCCAAGCTGCTGAAGGAGCTAGTTCCCGAAATGTCCAAACCGTTAGCCTTGCACTTTTAAATGTCATTTGCACCTGGGAGTTTACCCTCCGACTGGAAGTTCGCAACCATTACTCAGCTGCGCCTAACTACATACCAGTGAGTCTTACGTTCATTTGTTGCAAAATCTTAGAGAAAACTATTAGGAAGTATTGATGTATATTATCGAGTGGCATCACATCCTCTTTAATGTCCAACACTGCTTTTGAATTGGTTAGTCCTGTCTCACGAGTCTGCTCTTTCCATTCAAACGCTGAACCAACACAAACGACAAGGGTTATGTGGTGTGCGCCATTTGCATCTACTTTAAAATGCCTTCGACGGCGTTTCTCATCAACGTCTCTTATAAAAACTGCGAAACGCAGGAGGGCCAACAAATGAACTGCCTCCATCTTGTGTTCATCAAGTCGCCCGATACCATCGACGTCGTAAATTGTCTTTCGCCGTTGGATCAGAGTGACCATGTACTTCTCAAGTAGGTATACATCCTATTCTCCTTGCCTGCACAACCGCTCAATTCCCGACCCAGTATTTCGTGCGGCGATTCCGAACAGGTGAAAAACTATCTTTGACTAATTGACTGAGCATCCACACCCTCCATCGATATGGAGGAAGTTTGGTGTCTGTTCAAAAAAATAGTCCACAGCCTCATCTCTAACCACAGCCAAATGATACCCAGACAACTGGCAAATAGAAATCGCTGGTTGACTCAGACTTTCAAGCTGGATGTTAATAAGAGGAGGAAGCTACGGAAATATCCCTCATTGATAGGACGCCAGAATCCTTAAACAGTTAGAAGATTTACAGCAACCGGGTCAAAATTATCCTCGCCTCAGATCGGCAAGTCTTCCGAAAGGATCTTTGAAACGAGCAATGGTTAATTCCAAAGTCCTTTACAGCTACATGAGGCAGAGTTGACGGAACAAGGATTCAATCCAACTACTGCGAACGGCCGTGGGCGCGGAAATCTCAGATGACAATGATAAGGCTGAAGTTCTCTCACTTTCTCCGCTCCGTCGTGGCAAACAAAGCTATTTTTTTCACACTCGCCTGTGAAGATAAGGAAACGCCTACTATTAAGGAAGTTCTCTTCACCAAATTAATCACTGAGAAATAGTTATTAAACCTGGATTAATCCTCATTCCAAGGACCTTATCTAATCCCGGCACGTTTCAACTGACCAGTCAGCGATCTTGCGGTTAAGTACACCTTGGAAACACATTTGCTCAAAATCTCGCAAGGTCTGAATTTATTCCAGTCCTAAGAGATCTGCAAAGGGCTAAGGCGTTTCTGACTAAAATCCACAAAATTAATTGGATTTTAAGTATTTTTTCGCCTAATGGGTTTTGAATACTCACCTCACTTCGTCATATACAATCCGACGTATTCATTATAACATCGAAAGCGAAATTACACCTTTTATGTGACGACGATGTTTATGGAGTGTCAGCAATTTGACTGAAATAGTACGCACAGCGACGGCACCTCCTTGAATATGAGTCTGGTGGGATGTCCTTCGCATTCAGAACCTGTGCTCGTTGAACCTGCGCTTCCAGCCAACGACCAGCAAAGCGTGCAAAAAGCGTAATTACCGCAAAACCTGTGAGGCACGAAGACGAGCCTTATGTTTGGTGCGCAGATATTCAAATCAAAGTAGAAAAATTCTAAAAGGAGCTTGTTAATTTAAGGGCGTTCGTGAAACAGACCCTTGAGTACGACAGCGTGTCCAGTGTTAGAGTCCTAAAAACGAATAGCAAAACTCAAAAAACGCGAAAAAATATCTTCTAGGGGCATGCGTAAACATGGATTTCGACTCATTAGTTGAAATCCCAGACACCGGTAACAGCAGGACAACGAAAATGAAGTCGCCGATAAGAGCAGACTCGATTCCCACGCAAAATATCTTATGCGATGTCACATCTCGCCTAAGCCTTTTGCTTTAAGCGACGGGATATCTCTTTGGCAAGAGGTGATATAACTAGGTTATCCAGTCTACTGCTGCCCTCTTGTTCTTGAAAACACCTCGAGTGCTCTACACAAGACGTATTGGAATGCGAATACACTAACCAGTCGGTAGATGGGAGGTGAAACCTAACAACAGGTGTCTAAAGTCACACCTAGCCCTGATGGGCTGCTCTGGATAGTTGATTGACTGCAAAAGTTTGCGTACAAGCAACAAATCCGTAAACAGTCCTCGCTCACATGCAGAGGATTCTCTGGAAAGACAAAATAAGGCAGACCACGACCGCTAACAGTGTCTGGGCATTCAGAGCTTATCTGAATCGAATGCAGTCAGACCTGAAAATTATTAGAACCCATCTTTTAGCTGAAGAGTCCTAAGAAAGTGACCTTTGAGATAACGTAGTAATACTAAACTCAGCGAAAAATGCAGCCGGAAAGTTGGTTGGAGCAAAATTGAGGTGCATGCATACAAATACCAAAAAATGTCGTGACGAAACTAGACAGTCTAATACTTTACCACGCCGAATTATCTCCGGGTGTTTTAGCAGTAACCGACACCTTGCTGTCTGGAAATATTAGCTATAGTGAAAAAGCCTTCCCTGAAAGCCAAATGTAACTGAGGAACAGAGAAAATTGCCAGGGTGGTGGTGCAGTCGTCTGTGCGAATGAAGGCCTGACAGTGTCGGAAAACACCAACAAGTTTTCGTGCAGCACGGAGGAAATTTGGTCGACCACCAAAGCTACTGGTTCCCCTACACTCGATGTCCTCACTGTCTACTGACAACGTAGAACAGACCATTTCGCCTGGCCTTTACTTTTGCAGCAGGTGAAGAAATATTCCGGTCGACCTAACATTATGATCATGGGCGACTTCAACGCACCAGGAATTATTTGGAACACCTGCCCCGTGCGCTAAGGACAGAACCGTCAATCCCAGACTATGGATGTCAGGATAACACCAGAGTTATGAAGGAATTAACAATCAAAAGTCAAACGACCTGACAATCCAACACATGCCGAGCGCGTCACGTCGTGTTGTGTTCCATCCATTGAGTTAAACAACCAGTTTGTTTAAGAATGAGGAACAGATAGGGAAAGGCAAGATAGTCTGGCGCCTCGGCACAGTACCCCCTCCGAGACCAGAGGGCGGCGAAAACAACGCCAAAGGATATGTGCAAGTCTAAAAGAAATGAGTGAATAGCCGATCAGGAAGGTTTACATGACGACCACCAGGAGTGATAGATACATGCTCCGTAGAAGTGTAAATAGATCTGGTGGCGGAAGTGTAGAATTGGTGATGACAGTCCGAGGTAGCGGTCAGAGCGGTGGAATAGAGGCTTCAGGTGGGCGAAGCAGAAGGTATAGGACCACAGGGCTCATCCGGAGGAGTGTCAGGGATGGTATCCTTGAGGCGGTCCCCACTCACGATTGTCGCGTTGAATGCGGAAATTCTTCGTCCCGTGAGAGAGCACCCGGATGGGCCGTCATAGGGTGGTTCCAAAGGCCGGCGGACTCGATCACATTGAAGGCAGACGTGAGAGCACGTTGCCAAGTCCTTTCTGATATAAGACGGAGAGGTGAAAGACCTGGGAAGAACCGGAGAAAGTGTCCGCATAAGCTGCCAGAGGCGATGCAGAAGGTTGGTGGGATCCTCAGCTGCGCATCGCGGGGTTGGCGAGATCACCTCACCGGGCAGTCGGACGGTGGCGCTGAACACCATTTCGGCTGCGGAACAGTCAAGGTCCGGCTTGAGGTCGGAGCGGATGCACAAGAGGACCAGGGGAAGGTGGTCCGTCCACTTTTCCGGATCGGCCGCGGCGCGTACGGAGGCCTTCAGCTGGCGGTGAAACCGTATGACGATTCCGTTGGCAGCCGGGAGATAGGCTGTCGGTCGGATGCGGGTACAACCTAAAAAGGAGAGCAAAGACTGGAAGAGGTTAGACTCAGACTGGGTAGCACGGTCAGTCGTGACTGTGGAGAGTGCACCAAAGATAGCAGCCCAACGACTGCGAGAAGCTTTGACCACCGTTGGAGCAGCAATTTAAGGCATGGGAATTGCTTTAGGCCACGGAGTGGACCGATCCGCACAGGTGAGGAGATAGGAAAAATCATTGGACAGAGACAGGGGGCATACAATGTCCAGGTGAACGTGGCTGAACCTTGAACCAGGGCCGGGGAAGGTGCCAATGGCGGCCTTGTTGTTCCGCTGGATTTTACTCCGTTTACATGCGATTCAAGCCCATGCTTTAAGGTCTTTGTGTATCCCAGGTCAGATGAAGCGGTCGGAAACCGGCTTATCGGTTGCTCGACTCCCAGGATGGGAGAGATGAGTGGCTTATGATCTGTGAAAATTGTAAACTCTCGACCTTTGAGTAAATCCCGGAAGTGCCCGACGGCAAGATAAGCAGCGAGAAGTTCACGTCCAAATGTGCAGTAGCCAGTTTTGGCCTTGGATAGTTTCCTGGAGAAGAAAGCAAAAAACAAGGTAGAATCTGGCAAACTTTGTTGAAATACCGCGCCACCAGCAACATTAGAGGCATCGACCATCAGATATATGGAAGCATCAGCATTAAAGTTAGTCAGGAGGGTGCCATCAGCCAAAAAAGGCTCTTACTGGCTCAAATGACGTGATTGCTGCTGATTTTAGTTTATGGGTGCGCTTAGAACCTGAGAGGAGACTGGTCAGAGGTAGGATGGTATCGGCACAGTTCGGGCGAAACCGGCGATAAAAGCTCACCATACCAAGGAATCGTTGCAACTGATGCTTCGAGGTAAGGAGTGGAAAGACCCGAATGGCGGCAACCTTTGAGGAAAGAGGTCGAATGCCGTATGAGTCTATCAGATGACCTAAGATCACAAAAAAAGTGTCTCCTAGGACACATTGGTCAGGATGCAGGGGGACATCAAACTGCTGAAATCGGTCGAAAAGCAGGGTAAGGTATTGGATATGTTCCTCGACGTTTCAACTGGCGACGACAACATCATCAATATACACATTAAAAAAGAGAAGGTAACGTAAAACACGGTCAATAAAACGTTGAAAAGTGTGTGAGGCATTTCGGAGACCAAGTGGCATACGAAGGAACTCAAAAAAGTCAAAAAGGAGTCGTCACTGCCGTTTTGGGAATGCCCTCAGTCACAATCGGAATTTTATGAAAAGTCCAGACCAAACCCATCTTCAAGAAGACGGTTTTTCTACAGATAGCTGCGACAAAGTCCTGGAGGTGGGGAACCGGAAACCGATCGGACATAGTAATATTGATTAAGACTCTATAATCGCACAAGGGCGCCAATCATCCGTATTTGTTTACGGAACCATATGCAAAGGAGATGCCCAGGGACAGTCAGACTGTCAGACTGTGGTCAAATTCAGCTTTAGTAGCCGCAAGACGCAATGGAGCAAGTCGAGGCGGACGAGAGAAAAGGGGAGAACCAGTCGTTTTAATGTGATGAACCATATCATGGGTCAATGAGTTGTCAGAAAAATGGGGCTTAACGATAGGTTGATTATTTTAATAGAATTCTACGAAATGGAGATTCAGGGTTTGGGTCAAGGACGGATAGATGGTTAGAAGCTGAGGATGGAGAAAATCCTTTCACGGTGAGGGTAGTTGCCCGATTATGGAGGTGATTTTGTCTTCAATCCACCAGAAGGTTCAAGGCGGCCAAAAATCAGCACCAAAGATTGTGGTGAGAACATCAGCAAACACAAATATCCAGAGGAATAATCACCGGAAACCAATAGCCAGAGAGAGGGATCGAAATAAAAACGTTGTTATGGGGATAAGTTTACGGCTTGAAGATAAAGTCCATGGTTTGGGCAACGTCGGTCGGCTGACGTGGGAGGAATAACACTAGTTTACTCGCCAGTGTCGACTATAAATGTCTGCCACTCGTGTTATCACTGACGTAAAAGGTGCGACCCGTAGAGTTGCCAGAGAGCTCGGCCACATTTTATCTCCGGCCGAGGAGTTTCCCTGCGTGGACTTAAAGGAGCAGAGTGGGACACAGCGCCACGCCTTATCGCCGTAGTTGACATGGTACCAGCATAGGTTTGGGGCCCTGGGACGACAGCGGGAGCGACGACGGTCACGGCCGAAGGAACGTGGAGACGGACAGGGAGATCGGCGCAGCTGCAAAGTGGCAACAGTTGCTGACAACTGGGCAATCTGTGTCTTTAATTCAGCCAGGTCAGGTATGGACATGGTGAGAGGCTTGGACACCTAAGCAATTGTAGGGGATAACAAACGCTCAACCTTCATCATACGGTCGGTTATCTCCACTGGCTTTGATATGTGTAAGTCATCCGAGAGGAGGCCGAGATTGTTTGTACCGACGTCGGCAGACGTTCTAAGTACATCCATTTAAAGAACTTGTCGTCGATGGCCATGTTCAGAAAAAAAGAACGCATACGACGCAAGAGTTCCGATGGCTTGCGATCACCTAGGGCCTCCTCTTTTACCGGTGCGTGGTAACGCTACCGATCGGAGACTAATGGCAGGCGAAGGAGTTCAACCTTTAACTTGATGTAGGGAGCATCAGTCGGGGGATCTCTCAGAAACGTCTGCACTTGGGAAAGAATGGTCGGAGGAGGGGCCTCGACCAACTTATAGTATTTGACCGTTTCACGTGTTAATTTGGCGAAGTGAAATGTCCCCTCGATACGAAAAAAATAACGTTCTCGCGCATCTTGCCAGAAATCTGGCAGAGACGAAACAAGTCCACTGAGTGTAATAGTGGAATCGTTGGAAGTTGTAGAAGTTGTGATGGTAGAAAGGAAGAAGGCAAACGGACTGCATGCAAATCGAAAGTAAACAAAGTAAAGGTATAAGCGCGAACGTCAAAAGGTCACCACTGTAGAGAGCGCTAAGGGCAGAACCGTCAATCCCAGACTATGGAGGTCAGGATAACACCAGAGTTATGAAGGAATTAACAATCCAAAGTCAAACAACCTGACAATTCAACACATGCCAAGCGCATCATGTTGTGTTGTGTTCCATCCATTCAGTTAAACAACCAGTTAGTTTAAGAATGAGGAACAGGTAGGGAAAGGCTAGATAGTCTGGCGCCTCGGCACACACCCTCCAAGGGTCAGATCCAAAACTGGCATGCAATATCCGTCTGCAGGTCAAAGGACTCAAGGCGTTCTTTACTCAAAATGCTTTGTTTCCAACTAGAACGCGTGAAGGACGAAGGGCAAGCTGCTTGGATCTAGTTTTAGGAAAGCATCAGACAGCATAGATGAGGTCATCACTGACGCCCATTGACCCAAATGACCATGTGGTGCTTATGTCGGATTATTCGTTATTGGCTGTTTCGCATACTTCGGCCCATATAAGACGCACTGTGTGGCGGGGCGACGTCAATCAGATGAGGACAGACTAATCGGGTCTCAATTGGAGCTCGATGTTTGCAGGTAGTGCCAACGATGATTGGGAGTTGTTAAAGAATGTCCTTCTGCAGGTCATCAACAGCCACTGCCTACTAACTAGTGTTAGACTTGACAAACGCTCTGGGTGACTGAATAGCAACTTACAGAAAGAAATCCCCAAGAGGTTAAATTATGGACAAAATACTGTGTCACTAGGCACGATGAATATTTGGACACCTTCAAAAGCAGAGTAACAAACTAAAATGATGATTAATGAAACGCAGCGTGAATTCGAGATGAATGGGCTTCAGAAATCAACAAAGAACCCAAAATTAATCTACAGCTACCTTCAGCGAACCACAAGGAACACACAACAAACCCTATTAATAAGGACTATTACTGGTGTTGAGATTGATGCTAGTAAAGACAAAGCTGCGTTTGTTCAAAGTTTTTCTAACAGTGTACACAAACCCGGCAAGGTTCCTTCCCCAAATCACAGAAAAACCGCAAACCCCAAGCATCCGTGATATACTGATATGTGAAGGGAATTTGTGGCGGTCAAGGAGGTGAGATCGACTTAAACCACGCACAATAAGTTCTTTTCGTCTACTGTCAAAAGGCAGGGAGCTGTGAGGACTAGTTTATTCTGTACACAGGGCAGGTTGCCGTCAGTTGGCGGTTTGCTTTCAACAGAGAAAAGCGTCCGTTCACGGAGAGCGTCAGTCACGGTGTTTCTTGTTAACGCGAGTGTGTGTGTCTAAGTCAGCAGGAGGGCGTGACTGTCTGCGTGGTGGTCGTGTGATTGTACTAATTAGGGGACGAATGGAGA